CAAATTATTATTTTTAACTATATGAAAATATCATGACAAGTAAAATATTTTTGCGAATCTTTAACATATTTAATGTATAAATCCTTAAATAATTAAATAATATAATAAACTGTTTTTGTTAAAAAACCAAAATATCCGACCAACTACCGACGATCATGTCGTGATACGAAACATATGTTTGACGGAAATGATTAAGTATTATCATTTTTATTATCCGGTTGATCATTATTGTATTCATTCGCGATTAATTACTTATTTCATTGTGCGCGTAATCTACCAAGTATCAGTATGTTGTGTTACTTTATATTAATTATTCGTTAATTATTTTTGTACTATTTATGATTTAAATATTAACTTTATAATATTTCCACATTTGCATGTTTCATATATAATTGTCATTGTATACATTACTGGAAACTGGTAATATATATAATGAGTTATAAACGCAAATATTCATCCGATTTTAGAAAATATTTAGTATGTTTAAGAAGTGCCTTGTCTCTAAAACTTTTAAAAAGTTTTATGTTCATATGTATTGAAAAATAGTTATTAATCGAAATCAACTTTGATCAAATAATTGATGAAATAGCTCCTAAAAGTAAACTATAAACAAAATTCTAGTTGTATTATAATGAAAATTAATAATCACAACATAAAGAATATATTAGAAGACTCGCAGAATCCCTAATTGACAGTTTAAATATTTTTCGATTGTACCAAATTTTAAACTTTGTGCATAATCATTCTTCAGATATAGCCAATTTAAAATTATAACAAACTTAAACAAATAAAAACTATAATGATATATTAACAGTATAATAAATCAGTAGGAGGTACATTTCGTTGTTCATTTACTGTATCATAAACTAACATACAAACCTAACTAAATATTGATGTATAGATAATTATTTCCATTTCTATTTTCAATTCCATCAGACATGCTCATGGATAGAAGGAGAAAACACATCAAACATTTAATTACTTTAAAAAATTCTTCAAAGATCAAAGTTAAAAATTTGTACAGTTAAGAAAAATATATTATGTATGAACTATAGGTTTAACGATGTTTGTCTTTTTATAAAATATAAATTTTAGAACGGCGCTATGTGTATGCAATTTAAGGTCTTAAAATGGTTATTATTATCATCAGTTATTTATCTGTGTGACTTTTACTCAAGAAATTCACCACATAACCTAATTCATTAAAATATTATATTTTTCACTAATTTACTAATATTGGTCATTGAATAGTGCACTAAAATTGTGTAGATTTTAAATACTTGTTTAACGAACATTCAAGACATTTTGAAAATTTAACTGTAACCGTATTTACACTATTTACAAATAAATTATATACTTATTTATTACAAAAAAATAATGTATTTTTAGTTTTAAAAGCAATCATAACTCATAATTAAGCAATAAACATAGGTATGTAGATACTATAGATTATATTATTTTTTTACATTTTGGAAGTCCGAGCCGTTCTTATGACTTACGCAACTTCTCAACACGACTACGCTATAGTCAATGGCGGATTTAAGAGATGCCCGAAAGGTTAACTTTGTAGAGAAGACATCAGTTTTTTTTCTTATTCACTATTAAAATTATATTTACCTCTACAGACAATATAATGTCAGTTATAGATCACTCGAAAAGATTTCTGCTCATCCAGCATCATCGTGAGGAAGCCGAAAACGTTTTACCTATCAAATATATTCATTAGCATCTTCTAGTATTTGTACGTGTCATCACTAGTTAGACAATAAGATAATACATGAATTAGAAAAATTAAATTTTGCTCGATAACAGTCACTTATTTAACTTAAAGGTACTTACATCATTGGGAGTGTGACAAAATTTGGATGAATTTATTGAGAATTTGATGTTTCATCTAGTTTTACAGCTTAGCTACACTACAATTCGGTATTAGAGCGTGTAAGGCATGCGTGTTGACAATAATATAATATTGCGTTACAAAAGTTGAAAAAAAGCACTTACTTCCGGTATTGACTCATCGTTTTTTATGGCGATTGGCGCTGTCAATCAGAATGCACGCGATTTTATCTGCTGTAGGTGTGCCGTGTCCATATTCAGAGATAGAACTTAGAGAAATACTATCCTTTTAGGCCACCACTGAAAATAACTTTTTCTAAAATGGCTGGTCGACAGAACTTATGTGTTATGATGTTGCAATCTGTTAAAAACGAAACCGAGTTATTGTTAATTAATCCTCTAATATAAATATTCAATTGGTGTATACTCAAACATTTTCTCACGATCTAAAAGCGTCTTCAATGACACGCTTTGCATTTTTTCAACGCGTTATAAAATGTCGAGAATTTTTATATGTTATGATTGTTTGTGAGAACATCTATCAAATTGAATATTACAAACAGTTATTTTACAAAATCTGATTTTGTAAAGTATTATTCGAGAAAAAATATATGTCATTTTTCAATTATGGTTTCAATGTGAATCAATTGCAAGCCTAAATATAATATTATATGGTGAATATTTTAAATATTTTTAACTTAATTATTCTTTACTGCCGTACAAAATAATATTTATACTAGGTTATTATTTGGAATTAACATTCAACAATGATTTCAATGCTATGGCACACTCGGTGGTGTGCTGCTCAAAAACAAAAAAAAAACAATAGAAATTTAACCTGATGACCAACTAAATGAAACTGTCAAAGAAAATAAAAATAAGTTAATTCCTATAATTAAAACAATTATTTTCTATAGTCGTTATGATATTCTTTAAAGGGGTATAGATATAATGTTAATTTATCAACTCTAATTTTTAATAACAAGATATTTAAATATAAATTAAATGCCTAAGAAGAAAATAATTTTAATATTGAAATATTCAATGAATATTTGGTATTCAGAATAGACCTGGGTTTTGTAGTTCTTTGCAATTACTTAAAATCGGCTCCAAAAATGCAATATTTAAGTTAAAACACCACGAATGTACAAACGACAAATAAATCGATCAAACAATATAATTTCAAGTCCTGAAGAGTATTTTATAATAACAGAATACTACACAGTTTTAGATAATTTCATAACACCTATTCAACCCATGTTTTTTGACAACCAAAATCCGATATTATTTAAAATCCAACAACTGATAGTTTATTATTTAGACAATAAATCTTAAGAAGATATTATAAAAGGTGCCACTTTTTATGAAACAGATTTTTCCGGGTCCATAGACGAATTAAAAAGTAAAACAAATCATTATGATTAATCACTATTAACTTTTTGAATTATATGCGTTATTACAATATACAGGTGAAATTGCATTGTAGCACAGCTACAATAGATTAAATAAACAATAAAATAAGCAAAAATAAATACAGCTATTGACCCATTCAAATAAACCGAAGATGGGTATTTTCCAAATATTCGTCAACTTTTTCTATATTAGCAATATTACCAGTTACAACTTTGACAAGTGGATGGTGTTTCTCAACGCTAAAACATATAAAAACATATTTACAAATAACAATGTGGGAAAACCGTTTAAACGGATTGGCTTTGCTTAATACTTATAAACAAATTTATGTAAAGCCTGAAGACGTATTAGATAATATGTTTTCAAAATCTAATCCTAGGAGATTACAATTATCTTTGTCGTTATAACTTTCTTATAGTATTATTATAATTTAAATATAATCTTTAATAAATAAAAAATACACATTTAAAATTATTGCTTGTTTGTATTTATTAATTACTAAAAAATTTAAGTTGACTGCCTGATCACTATTAAAATAATACGAGTAAAAATAGAGTTGAGTAGGAAGTTTACCTTTGATCCAAATGAGATATCTATAGGCTTAAAGGTTTTTAAAAACAATATTAAAACTATAACCAAAGTTTAAATTGCACAAGTATTATAACTATGAATAAGGGAATAACCCCCCCCCCCTCAAAAAAAAAAAAATTAAATCCTGGATACGCCACTGGCTATAGATGAGAAAGATATGAATTGGATGACTATAACAACACTAAATATGTATGCGGTTTTATAATAGGTGAAAAGAGAAAAAATATATAAATAGGTACTATATTATGTATATTATCTATGTAACAACGTTGATTTATGTTTTGTATTGTTTATTGGGTAGTTTTATATTTTAATGTTTAACCGTATACGTTCACTATTTTGAAATTTATTAATTTTACCGTTGTAATTATAATGATTTCATAACAGTTATAAAATTAAGTTAACAATAAATATTGTAGTTTATTTTATTGATAATTTAAGAATTATTAGCATAATATATTTAATTAATATTCATCGCGATATCGAAATAACAGTTGAAGAAGTAATACAAAAATTACCATTGAATCAAAAACGACGCACTGATTTTATTTTATAATTTATTATTGACCTTATATAGACATAATGTTTACATATTAATTAATTTACATAAGAGTTATGGTTTTTGTGTATTATATATTATATTTTATAATACTCCAGCCCCTAATTAAAATCCTAGTTACACCACTATTATATAAGAATAATATTTCTCGGTATGATAATTATCTGAAACTTAGTAAATAAAAAAATATAAACAAAATAGATATATTATCAAATTATCAAATTTAAAATAAATGAATAAGACGCCTTTCTTTGATTCATTGAATTTCGTAATATTTAAATAATAAACTATTAAATGTTGAAAAAATTATGATATATTTATTTATCAATTCTACATAATATAGTTGATTAATGAGTGTGATCAACATTTTTAGTATTATCATTTATTTCTGTGCAATTAATGTAAAGACCTCATTGAGTTTCATGTGTATATATTTTTTTTTTCTTAGTTATGGTGTAATTGATATAGTATACCTGGAACATGCAGCTGTTTGGTTCCCTGCCGTGAACGGCGAAACTACGTGAACAAAAACTTCGAAACGTGATTACGAGATAATGGTTTGTCCGGTATAATTTCGTAGCTAACTTCTTGCTAGTAAATATTCTAAGTAATAAGAATGACGTGGTATAGCACTTACGCGGTGTTTAATTTTTATTTTAAATAAATTTCCTTCACGTACTGTACGTTATTGTACCGAATTCTTTTTAAAATTAAATTATTTTCTGTTTTAAGTTACATTACTTACAGCCACGATGTTTGACGGATTTTTAGATGATATAAAACGCATGAATAAACGACAAGTAATAGAAATAAATTATTTTGTATTATTTTAACAATACAGCATAGTTTTTAAAATTTTTCAACAATTGAATTAGGTATTATTTGTTTGTAATATTTCATTATGATTTTAGTTTCTCTATCAAGTATTAAGTTTTGGAATGATTGTTTCGTCCGCACTAATGATATGGAAAGGTTTAATGGTTTTTACTGGAAGTGAGAGTCCAATTGTTGTTGTTTTAAGGTAAATTAAGTATAATTTATTGAAAAATATAAGTTTTTGATTATATTTTATCTTAAAAAATAATTACTTTATTAAACATTTTTTAATTGAAATGTGATCAAATTTTACAGTGGTAGTATGGAACCAGCCTTTCATCGAGGTGATCTATTATTCCTAACAAACTATGAAGAAGAACCAGTTAGAGTTGGTGAAATAGTTGTATTTAAGATTGAAGGACGTGATATTCCTATTGTGCACAGGGTTTTAAAATTACATGAGAAGTCAGTTTGATTTAAAAACTATTTAAAAAAAAATAAAACTTTATCTGTGTTTTTTTTTCTAGAAATAATGGTACAATTAAATTTTTAACCAAAGGTGACAACAATAGTGTAGATGATAGAGGATTGTATGCACCTGGTCAACAGTGGCTAGAAAAATCAGATATGGTAGGCAGAGCCAGAGGATTTTTACCATATGTTGGAATGGTTACAATTTTAATGAACGAATATCCTAAAGTCAAAGTATGTATTGGGTTTTATTTCATTAAAATGAAATTAAAATTTTTTAATTTCTAATACATTCTAATATATTATTTGAAAAAAACTAAAAAAAGTTCTCTTGTGTATATAAATTTTGAGTATACCTTGTTATTGCATAAATCACTAATGAATTTTTTAAATTTGAATTTATTGATAAATCATTTTAAAACACTCTAAACTGGACATTTTATAATTATTATTTGATATGCATAGATGCAAATACAATTGTTTACTTAGTGGGGGGGGGGGAGGCTGACAAAATTTAAGATACACAAATCTGTTGGGTCAAATCCCTCAATAACCTCCATAATTCTTAAAATATTTTTTTGATAAAATCCATACCTACACATAATTTGTAATTACTTAAAATTTTAACTTCTAAATTACTTTATTACACTACAAAAAAACAATTTTACGTTTTTATATTTTCCTGGACAAAACAAAAATTTTAGTTTACACATAATAGTTTATATTCAGTTTTGGAAAACTCTTGTAATGTTCCTTCAAACAGTGACATATGAATAGGTCTGGGATATAAATAGGTTAAACTTAGTCTAAATATTTTGAAAATTTCATTGTTTATAAAAAATAGTACCATACAATATAGACTAAGTTCACGTAACCATATTTAATTTTTTTCAACAACAATAAAATTACTTGATACTAAACTTAAAACTATATTTTTCATTTAAATATACAATTTCATCAAAGTTTAACTTTAAATGAATATACAAAAAAATTGTGTTAATGGTTTTTAAAATTTTAAGAATACTATTAGAACAATTTATGAAAAATATAAAGTTAATTATCAAGCTTTAGCTAATGCATCTTATGCATTTTCAAGTATTACGTAATTTTCTATTTGGTGATTTTCTTAAAAAATAAAAACATCAGAATACTTTTTAAGTAGAAAATGCCAATAGAAACATTAACTTTGTGAAAAATGCCAGTTTTTTCCATTATTTTTTAATTATCTTAAAAATCTTAGGTATGAATATTATTAGATTTTGTTCATAGTAAAATTAAACAACTAGGTATCATTTAGATGGTTTTCAAGTACTCCTTATTAAATGTATCACTATGCATCTGTTTAAAGACAGTTAAAATACATTAACAGTAAATAATTAATATAAGCATATTACCACCTATGTATTATCATGTAAATTACATATCACCTAATTAAGTTTATTTCTTTTTAGTTTGCTGTTTTAGCATGTCTTGGACTATATGTACTTGTTCATCGGGAATAAATCTTCGATCAATTTGAGCTGATCCAAAGAATATGTGGAATTATTTTAATTGTTAATTTAAAATTCATGTGATGTGTATTGATTGGTAGCTGCTGAGCATTTCTTATTCTTAAATATTTTTTTTGTTATTCAATTATTAAATGCAGATTATGATATTTTTTTCGATCTAGCCAAATTTAAAAACAATTTTCAATAAGTTTCAAATATTATATTATTTAAATTATGTATAATTTTTAAAATTTAAGATAAAAATAATGTTAAATTTATGTTGTACATAATTATTAGGAAACATTAAATATTTTCATTTATAAACTACTATGTTAATTTGTATAATTTTACTATATAGTTTATTTTATTATTATTAAATTTTATAAATTATAATTATTATAAACATTTTAAAAATAATTCTCTAGTCGTTCAAAATAAGTAATAGAAAATTCATAAAAACAAACTAAATGTATTATAATAAGTACTATAAATATTCTTATTTATTTAACTTTTTATTTTCTTTTTCTGTACATTATATTTTTATCAAAAAAATATTAAGCATTGGGAAGTATTTAAGTTCATATCTGAATAATAAATTTTATCAATTATTTAAAAGGTTGTATATTTTCTCATACTTTATGTTTTAATTGATAAATTATTAATTTCTATTATAAACATTGTTTATTTCCTTTGTTTTTGATTAACATTGTAATATTAGTTAAAACACCATTTAATAAAATATTTAAATGAATGATAACTAATCAGATTATTATGCTGTGTTTGCTACCAGCCAATTACTAAATACTGAAAGGGTTAAAGAATGTACACAGAACTGCAATTTGTCTATAATGTGGAAACAAGTTTAGTGATCATTCTACATATAGCAAAAATATTAGTGCTACATTTTTTTTTACTAACTCGTTTGAATATAAATTAATTTGGCAGTGTTAAAATGTTTCATTTCAATGTATGGACTGAAAATGTTAAGACAACATAAACAATATTTAATATACAAAATAAAATTTATAATATTTTTTATTTAACTATTTAATTTTTATCTCCTATATTATTATTTAACATTAGTTATTCTTGTTTTTAATTGATAAAATTTGGTTGTCATAGAAAAGTTTTTGTTTTATTTTATTTCTTTTATTAAATGATAAATTTAATTTACGTTTGATATTTGTAAGATAAAAATGTCTTGTAATCAAGATAATGAATGGGAATATGTACCTGTAGAAACAGCAGATGAGATTATGTTGTGTGGAGATGTAGTTGAGAGTAAAAGTCTAAAAAACTGGAATAGATGGCTTAAAATAAGAAAACAACAACATAAATACCTTGGTTTAATGGTAAATATTTGACTGTAGTATGTACACATTTTAATAATATATTTTATAGGTATGTCGTAGTTCTACATCGTTGTTAATGAATAGATCTGATACATTCAGATCAAAAGTTGAATGTAAATGGCTGGTTGATGTAGCCCATAAGTTAAAAGCCAATAATGAATATTGTGCTGATTTTCCTTATTCTATAAATAGAGAAATAGAAAATTTTACTTGTATATATACACCAGATGTAATACGTACTGAAAAAGGATTATTGGGCATTAGAAAAGATGCTCGCATTGATTTGCAAACACCTAATAAAGTGTTGCTTAATAATGAATTAAATATTTTAAAAAGTTTAGTACCTTTTAAAAGTTCTGAAAAATTAGCTATTATTGGGAAAAACATTCTTAAAAAAACTATAAATCACAAATTTGATTATAAAGGTACTATCCCATCTATTTATTTTGAGTCTGCTCATATGAAAAATAATTGTAATATTGCACTAATTTATGTTAGGGTAAATGATTTTATAATAAAATCAATTAAAGACAGTTATTTATGTATGACAACTGAATTAAAAACAAAATCAAAACCAGTTAATACCGTAAAAATAAATGAAGATTCTTGGGATGAGATAATAATAGAAAATTGTGGACAAATAAGTGTCTACTATAAATGGATAAAAGAAGAATATACCGCTACAAAATATGATAGTATCTTAAAAGAAAAACCAAAAAAAAGTTTTTTTTTTGACACCAGGACCAATATTTTGGGTCCTGGTCAAATTAAACGCTTAACAGTTTTATTCAGACCTACACAAACTGGGCCTCACAGAGAAATGTGGTTTTTACAATTAAATGTTTTGGAAAAATTAGATCATATAGCTAGGATCAATGTACCTCTACAAGGATGTGCTATTTCCAATGTTGACAACATGTTATCTATAATAAAAGTAAGTAGATAAGATAAGTACCTACCTATTTATGGAATATGGACCGTTATATTCAATGTTGTTGGTACATAATTATTAACAACCTAGACAGCTGAGCCTTAGCCAACACTAAAAACTTAAAAACAATTATTTACTTGAAAAAAATGATACAACCTAATTTAGATCATATACCAACTACAATATATTTAATACAAAATATTTTGTGTTTCTGGTAGGTACTACATAATTTTTTCATATAAACTTAATTAAGCCAACATATTTCTATCAATAGATACATTATATGTACGATATACCTATTACATATTTTATTATCGTACAGAAGTAATAATGACTTTAATAAATTTTAAACAATTTAACTAGATAGGTACCTACATACTTAATAAGTATACAGTGTGTAAACGGTAATCGAGAACATTCAATATCTTTGCGTAGAGACCTGATATTTGAATTCTGTTTTTTTGGTAGTTGTTATGACATAAAAATACACATTTTTATGGTCTTTGAATTTTTTTTACTTAAATAGTCACGCACATGCGCATGTCAACTTTTTTTTTTAATGGCAACCCCCTGCTTTAACCACTAATTATTTTTTGCCTATTTTTTTAATGAATTTTGGTAGTTGAATCAACTTTCTAAGTCCAAAATTGACCAAGTTACAGCAATTCAAAAAAAAAAAAAAAAAAATTAGAAAAAAAAAAATGCTCTCGATTTTCAGCTTTTTAATTGTAACTCTGAGAATAATTATTATAGGATTTTTAAAGATTGACATTTTTATAACTATTTATTACGGTGATATTAATACGTTATTTTAACTTCAATTACTGAATAATTTTCTCTTTAGTTTATGTAATAAATCATAACTTATTATTTCAGAAAAAACGTAAATTAGTATGTTGTTTATTTCTTTACATTTAATGGATCTATTAGAACGTATTAATAATTAATAACAAATTCAATTCTTATTTAAGTTACCTATTTATTTAGTTAATAAAAATCTAAAAATAAAAAAAAAATCTTTTTTTTGACACTCCCAATAAATAAACAACATATCAACTTTATCTGAATGAGGCATATTTGTCACGGAGTAACGCACGGTTTGAACGATGAAAAATATCGAAATGTTTAGTTATTTCATTTATCTCATCGTATTTAATTTTATATCAAATTGTCATACAGATAAAAGTTTACTATAAGGTAAACCTAATGTTTAATCAAAAGTTTGAACAATTTATTCGTTAGATTTTTTTTTTTTATTTTTAGATTTTTATTAACTAAATAAATAGGTAACTTAAATAAAAATTGAATTTCTTTTAGATCTAACTATGAGTAATTTTTTGAAATTGTTAATCAAATTAGTTCCCTTGCTATTTAAGTACATGAAAAAATTTAAAAAAATAGTTTTAAGTTCATTTAATTTCACATTATGGTCATTGTCATAAAAATGTCTACTTTGTTTATAGTAAAAATATAAATACAAATTAAATACCTATACGTATACATAGAATGCATCAAAAATTAAAAATTAGTTTTTACAATGTTTAGCTGCAAAATACTACATTATCTGAAAAATTTAATGGATTATGTACTAAGTCAACCAACAAAAATCATCAAAATGCATTTTTGGAAGATAAGTCTACTTTTATTGAAAAATATCATTATCACGACGAAAAGATGAAATATCTTTACCACATATTACAAACAGAGAATTCTAAAAGTATTGAAGAACTTCTAAACCAATGTATGCAACTAAAGCAATCACTTAAAGAAAAATACTTAGATATAATTAGTCAAACAGCTGTCATATTATTAAAAAAAGAAATTATTTTTGAACATAATCAGATGAATCAGCATGAATTAAACGCACATAAAATTATGTATATAACAATGAATTGTATTGATTTGATAATGAATACTTACGAATTTGATCATAATGAAGTTTGTCAAGAACTGTACAAAAACTCTGGTGAAAATCAACTGAAATTAATAAATAATTCAGGTAAATAATCTTAATAAATTAAAAATAGCATACTTATTTGATGAGTATTCTGGTTTGTAAAATTTTACAATTGAAATACCAGGAATATTATATTAAATTTTCAAACCTTAGTTATAAAAATAATTTCTATACATTTTTACCAAAAAATACATATTATTTTTAAAATCTCATGATTTTGACAAATTTTGTTAAAATTTAAGTTTTGAATGTATAATTAAAAAAAAAAAATGTTGTGTATATAGGTACTGTTATAATTTTTACATTAAATTTTTGAGAATCTTGATTCAGCGAATATTTTTTTATTGATACTATTGAAGAAAAAAAAAGGAAAATTTCTTATACCAATAAATATAATTTAAAAAGAGTGAAAATATTTGGAAAATTATACTATCTATAATCTAAATATTTGGTGAAAATTTCAAGTTTTTTACAGTTGTTCATTTATGAATCATAGCAAAATGAAGAAATTAATGTTATTGAAAATTGCTTTATTGTAAAAATTAAGGGTTTTCTTTGATTATCCCCCTGCGATTATTTAAAAGAGTATTGGCAATTTTATAGTTTTTTCTCCTCCCCTATAGTACCAACTAAATTTTTGTTACCAGAAATTACCCCCAAATTTTAAAATCGAAGCATTTTTACTGTCCTGAAGTTGCAGATGACAAACACTCGCATAAGTGTAAAATTAATACATATTTATTATAAAATTTAAAAATAAACGAAAATAAAAGTACCAATAAAAAAATATTTAATAATAGTAATAACCAAGGATTTAACATAACCATTATAACTTTCAACTTTAATGAGTTTAACTTTTTCCCGTAAAAACATTACATATTTGCGATTTTTTATATATCTAAATGACCAAGTTTGTTTAACTACTTTCCTTCAATTATTCACACTTTTATGTAATAATAAATAAAATAGTTTCACCAATAGAGCCAAAAAAATATGTTCTAAATTTATTGGTAAATAAGTACCTAACTGGATAAATATTTCAGATAATGAAATATCCGAAGTTGATATCACTACGAAACAAAATACTGATTACACTACAGTAAGCAAAGAATGGTTTGAAATGATCAAACCTATGATCAAGAAACGATTAGAATGGGCTGTAGAAAGAATATCAGATTATAATATCTTGTGGACAGAATGTAAACATGAAAATGCTAATGAGACTATAAAGGATGAACATAAAACAAGGATACTAGGAGTAGATTCTTATGAGCATAAAGAATGTAGTCTTTCACTTGTGAGACAATTTTTTATAAATAAATACTTATAATTTGTGTCCACAGAATATAAATTAATACCTAGTTATACACTTAACTATGTGGCAATGTGTCTACTTTTTAACAGGTTTTCACGATACTATGGTGATCCATTCGGGTCGTCCTTTATATCCACTTAATTTATTTTGAACAATAAACTATTTTCCGTTTAATTTACGTTTAAATTTTACGTTTAAAGTACTGATAACCAGTACCTACTCAATAAAATAAAAAGAAGACTTTTGAGTAATTATAGTCTAAGACATAGATCAAGAGTAAAATCACCCATTGCAAAAATATACCTACTTAATAAAAAACCATTTTTGTGCATTTTAATGGATATTAAATTATTTAATACAATATTTAAATAATTCAATTTTCATACCTTCAAAAATATTACTCTATAATGTTTGCAACAGGCCATATTATTCCACCACCTACTCAAAACACAAATAAAATGATTTTGCGTGAATGCGTTTAGTTTATGTTGTATGTGGGTCAGAGTCGTCAGAGAGAAAACAGATAGCGTGCTGATGTCTTTAGAGAGTATTTAATATAGATTATGACTTATGAACACCGATGGCTAAATATATACCTACTGATGCAGTGGTGCTTGGTAGGTACCTACCTTTGTTCTTAACTTTTTGTGCTATGGCACGCTGTTTGTTAGAATTGTCTATTGCAAAACGCAGACAGAATAAAGTTTATTTCATCACTCATAATTATAATTAAATATATTTTATAGTACCCGATAAAAATATGCCTGCGTCGATTATATAAATAAAATTGTAAGATATTTCAATGAAATCATTTTATTCGAGTTGAAATAATAATTATCATAGTTATCATATGAGTAAATTTACCACTGATAGAATACGATAGTTTATGATCAGATGGTCTAATAAGGAGTAAAGATAATTTTTTTGCTTAAAATGTGACCGGTATCCGACCACAAATAAGTATGGTTTACACTATACAGGTGTTGAAAAAAAAAAAATTATAAAATTTAGACATTAATAATTAATAAATAAAGAATATTTATATTTATTATTAATTTTATATAATATATGACAACAGTCAACATTGCATGTTGATAAATATATTATAGGTAGATACTCATATAAATAATACATAATATTTTGTCATGCATAGTTTTAATATAAATATAATAATAAAAAAGTCATAATATTTTGTAGTAATTTATTTAGCATAATTAAATGCAACATACTTCACGTACGAATAATGCGATATTAGTTTATTTTTAAAATCAGTTATCTTAGCTTTACTAGACCTACCACATTTTAACAAAGTAGATTTATTTTTGGTGTATTCGGAATATTAAAATTGGCGCTATTTATTTTAATGTAAGTGACACATAACGTTAAAAATGTTGTTGGAGTAAACCCATACAATTAAGTTGGCCCTACTGCGGCTCAACGTCGGCCGCGGGCCGTTATGCCATAGCGCTTATTGCACGCGGGCTCGCGTAACCGGATATCCGGCAGCCACATAGGTAAGCGGCGTGCTGATTGTCTTTTCGCCCTTTTTGGTTTTTCCGCCATCGACTGGACGATCCGTTTTTTTGACTTTCCGGTTACGATGTTTTTTACTGTGCCGCTTCCGCTTTATTAGCTGTGTTTTTGTCCAACTATCGCAATCTCAAACTTTCGCATTCGAGACTCGAGTCACGTGTTTTGTTGTTCTTTTCGTTGTTTCGTGTCGTGTTTACTACGTGCGATTTACGGTGCCCAAAAATGTGGTTGTGTTGTGACTTAATTTTGTCCGAAAAGTCGTTAATCGCTCTCTCGTTTTCTTTTTTATTTGCCATCATTTGGTGCAAGTATATACGCCCGGTGATTTAATCGTTGTTTATGCGCGAGTTGCGAGCGAAAAATGAACACTTGTCATTCCACCGTTCTGCTGTTCATAGTGAAACAAATTGTCACTTAGGTCTAGTGGTCCAGTGGTTTAGATTAAGGTACCGATTTGCGTAATTGTTTCTGGAGTATGAGTTTAGGAAAAGTTTTCTTTATTTTAGAATATTTTAGAGGGACTGACAGCCCCCATATTTTACTGTGTGGTTCGTTTCGGGCTTTTTTGCACTCGGTGGAATCGTGAAGATCCCACACTGAACACATCGTATGTTTTGTAGTAGCCGTGACAGGCAACATTGATATTGGAAGATTTTCTTATTTGAGTGAAGTTCTTCTACTTTGACCTTGGAGTAGCAAAAGAAGTTTAGTTTGAAGATGTCCTGATTAGACAGACTGCACGAGGTCTACCAAAAAAAGGGGTAGTGGAGTTTTAGTAGATTTTTGGATAACCTTTTTTAGAAACCTTGATCAGATAGCTTTTTGGATATTTAGTCCTTGTCAATTGAGGGATGAAGGTTCCTAATAACAACCATGAATGGTAATCTTTTGACTAATATAAATGGAAGGATATATTTTTGATTTTTAGAAATTTCACATATCTGTAAGAGTCGGTTTGCAGTTTGACACTTTTGGCTGTAGCTTTTTTCACTCAAAACTAGCAGCGTCATTAATTTTTTTTTAATTTGACATTTATGTTCTATTCTGATTGTTCATTTATTAGGTATCATTTATTTTCATATTTTTTGATCATTGTTATGTATCCAATCTAGTGATATTGAATAATTTTCTATTAATATTATTTTTATTTTAATAGAAAACCTCATATTTGTAATTTTATCACAACAGTGTTATCATATTCATATAAGTATATTCTGATGTCACTTTGTCCTAGAGTCTACAGAGTTCCACTTAATAAAGTGGAATAAAAACAAGATTTTCCTTTTATTTATTTTAGAGCCAGTACCAACCTCTTTTTAGGAGTGTTTGAAAACTGTTCTTCTTAAAACTATAAAAATCGTATTTAATTTATCTGTAAAATATTGTCTTCTTTACTACATTTGTTAATAACAAATTTTTCAAAAATATTTTTTCGGTAGTGGAGCGGGAGGGTTTCCTGGCATAGTTATGATTTTTTTCTGGGCAGATATATAATTTATTTGATAAATATAAAGTCCAAATACCACGTTACACTACGCCTTTATAGCGTTATGCTCTATATTGCGTATAATGCATATTTTATCCGTGATTATAACATAGTAATATATATTGTAATATATTATAATCAAATAATCTTATGTCGAGTATAAGTCAATGCATTAAAAGCTCTGGGGTGGGATTTATTCCCATCATCTTCCCCTATAACTACACCGCTGGGAGGGTTAAACCCCACCTTTACCCTTGCGCACAGGCCTGATAGTGTAATATGTTACCATATAACCGCGCACTAATCACCGTGGCCTGTCGGCCGTCATTCGTGTAATATAGTACTGTAATAGTGTAATGTCGTCTAACTCAGATATCAATAACAACAACAAAAATTCTAAAACGTAATACAACATTATTGGATATGAGAATTGAAAACATGCGACTACCACATCATCAACGCCATCTATCGGTTTCAATTCATATTATATGAAACATATGTAGAGCAGTAGAGCGATAAGCTTAGGACACAGTTGATAACATTATGATTTGTATTAACAATAACATAATATTTGCATTTCATTAGTCATAGTAGTAACCTGTTCTATGTACTGTATGCATAGTGCATACTCGTACTATAGTTTTCTTCCATCAAAACAGTACTTATTGTTGACTGTTTCACTGTTGTGTAGTAATATAGTGTGTATATACTTCTAATAATTATTGAGTATTTAACATCAATTTGTTTGGTTGTTTTTTTTTATTCAAAATTTATAAACATCATTTCACCTTGACATTTATTTGTTTTCTTTTAATTTCTTGAGACTATTGCTCTGAATGCGCCATTAGTTATGATAGGGAAATTGAAATGGTATTTAGTGCTTACAATCCTATTTTGGAGTTACATGAACGGTTAGTACTATATACAACATCGTTTTTGTAGACGATTCATGTGTAATATATTGAATAACTTTTTTTAATTGTGGTCTTTTTTATATTAATATTTATTACCTTTTCTAGTTGATGGTTATCAACTAATACTGAACAATAACAGTCCAGTAACCACCGGTTCAACAGTCACCCTGAATGCCACAGTTGTCGACGATAATGGTTTATGCGCTAAAGGAAATCTGTTGTTTATGTATGAAGATGATGCATTTCCAAATCATAAGTTGCAAGTATGTTGCTGACAATTATTATTATTATTATCATTACTATTATTTTTTTCTTTAACATTTAACAAACTGATGATTGGTAACTTATTATTTGGATTTATTTTCAAATTTTGGAAATAATTAAATTCTTGGTTTCATTCAATTTTAGACCAAGATTAAAAATTGTGAGGCAATATTTCACATATCATTTGATACAACAATTGGACCTTCAAATTATAGATATAAAGTAGAAGTTTCACAGGAATTAATTCCTTTCATCTTTCATCCAATTACTAGTGGTCGTGGCCAGTTAGTTGTTACAGGTAACATACTATATAATTTTTTTTTTGGTGAAATTATTTTTAAATTTATAGTCAAAATGTAAATGTAAACTTATATGGTTACATATAATATGTATGATAGGTAAAAGAAAATATATCATTTAAAAAAATAATTTATATGAATATTATAAATTTTGTATTACAGAAAACTTGAACGGTGTACTTCAACTATTTCAAAATAATACAAATATTTCAAAAAATTCTCCACGGACTATTTATGTGTCTACTAACTTAGAAACGGTTCACCGAGTTGAGATCAATTCTGCTGATTTAGATTATCTTAATAAAAGTGCCAATTCAACCACTGTTTACTGGTTTGTTGATTGTATCTATCAAGAAAATGCTACAAGTTATACATTTTCTAGTAACTATACTGAACCAGGCATTCAGCATGAAATTCTTGGCATTGTAGTAGCCAATATTTCCACATCTACACCTACAACTATACCTATACCACCTTTATCTACACCAATACCAACAGTATCCAATACCACAGTCAGTTCAAATAATTCTTCTACTAATACTACTATTGCTGATATTATATCTACACCTTCTACTACCAAAGCACCTTCTAAACCTGATGTTATATTTTCTCGTCATATAATCAATTCGACTATTACTTCAGACTGTGAACAAAAAAATCACTTTGAATTATTATTATCTGTAGCTCATTTAAAAAACCAGCAAAAATATGGATATTTTAGTCGTTCCGTACTTACCAAAGGTAAATATAAGTGTGGATACTAATTTTAAATATTAATAGTTAGTTATTAATTTTAAAGTTGACATAGTGTAATAAAACCCTATGTTTTCTTAGATCCAATAGCAAATGTTAAGACTCAAGGAAAAGTATGGATACAAGAAGGAGAAATGTTTAATCTTCTGGTAATCAAAAAATTATGTTGTATATTGTAACATTATTAAATTAAATATTTATTAATTAATAGGTAAATTGTAATGGTAGTGGCCCTTTCCGTTATTGTGCACATTATGTTCAAGGACCATATAATGATACTGGTAATGATTCTTGTATACCTGACAGAAATTTAGTGCAATGTCAAATGCAATTTGTGCACTATTTCCGCGAGCCAACCAACTATACACTAATTGTGAATTTGGCTAATGATGTTTCAAAAGTTGTAACTCCTATTGGAATTAATATTTATAAAGGTAATTTTTATTTTTTATATAAATTATGACAATATTATTTTATTTTTAGATTTTATTCACTGTATTCAATTTCTTTTTTATGTTTTTCAGTACAAAAACAACCACAAATATCTGTCATTGTTGTACCTGTAACTTTTAGTTCAATTGCAGTAATTATTGTTGTGTTTGGAATAGCTTATTACTTTCAAAACAGATCAAGGTACTATTAATAATTAATACTATTTATCCAAATAACCCAAGATATCATAAAACATTTTATGTTAACTGTTTTCACTTAACTGAAAATGTTTAACCTCCATTAATCTAATGTACCACAATTTTTTTCATTCAACATGTGGAGTATTTCGCCGAGCTGCTTTTATTAAAGTTTTATAAAAATTATTCATATAAAATAATGTAAAAATATTTCTGAATACAAAAAAAAAAAAAAAAAAAAACAATATTTTGATTAACAATAGCTAATAAACAAACAATACAATTAATCAGTAAAAATAGATTTTAAATTGGGTGTTATAAACATTAATTTTTTTATAATACTATTTTATTAGTACATACTGTATTATAGCAAAATTACTACTATGAAATCAATTTTTTTTAGTTTCTATAGTCATAAAAAAATTATCTTTCATAAAAATCATTTAAATATAATATATCAATATATATTTTTATAGATATATGGTAGAAGTAGCAGATTTTGATTTTGCCAATAATTCCGACATGGAATACAAAACATTTAGAGAGCGGCTACGTGATGCTATAAGTCAAGCTATTAACCGTACTCAAGACTATTCAGAGTATGATGGCAGTGAAGAACAAATTGGTAATTTGGCTACACCTCAAAATCAAAAGTATGGAAGTATGCAATGACCAAGCACTGTAGTCGGTCCAAACAGATGTAATGTCTAAATGACTATACATTGGACTGACAAATTAATATATTCTATAATGCAAGGGTTCTTAACCTTTTGAGGTCCACGCTCCCCTTCAAACTATTATATGAGTTCACGCCCCACCTCCTCACTACTATAAGATTGATGTATGCTTAATATTTATATATATATATGTATAACATACTTTAATGTTGGTTATTATGTTTTTTTTTTCAAAATTGTTACGCCTCCCCCTCTTAAAATGTTTTTATGCCTCCTTTGGGGGAGGGGGCACTCTTCAGGTTGAGAAGCTTTGCTATAATGTGACTTTTTTGTTGCTGTTCCTTAAAAAAAAATTTGATTAACAAATAACTTTTTAGCATTCCAAATTTTTAATTTAAACTTATGACTTAGAATTTTTTGTACACAGTATATTATTGTATTCATGAAGACTTGTATGTTAAATATCAATAACCATCACATTTTTACAGCAAATTTTAATAATTGGAGTCTTATCTATTTTTAGTTTTTCAGTAATAAATAAGACTTTAGTTATACATAGAAATAACTACAATAATTTGTATTTGATTATAATACATATTATTTATTTAGCATTTAGTTGTTATTATTATACTATTTTAGTAATAACCTACCTAATTTAAACATTATCTGTATTCATCTTCAAATAGAAAATTACTTCATGTATTCCATTGATTAATTTAGTTGTAAATAATGTATACGTAATTTAAGTTATCATATTTACCGTTTACTTCTGAACTTTCACTTTCATCATGAACTAGAACTCTTATAATTCATGAACATGATAGATCACAGAGTTCTTCCATTTTTTTATGTTAATCTTAGGGGCAAAAAAAAAACAGTATCTCATTTGTATATATTAGAATATTATTATTGACTAAAACCAATTAGTCCTAAATCTTAAATGATGGCAATTGATATATTATTATTTTATTTATTTGTATTTATATTGTGTAATATAATAAATAATACAACTATAAATATATAAATTAAATGATATTGTTATTTTTAAATTCAATAGTTTACTTAAGTAATGTATCTTGAGACATTTGAAAATAATAACAATATCTAATTTCCATGTGTTATTCAATATAAACATTTTTAATCGTACAAAGTATTTTACCTTTAAACATAATATTATTAAATTCAATTTTACTTTTTTTATATCCTTTAGTGTCACATTAAAAAATATATTTAATTATGTATTTAAAAAACTTTTTTTGTAATAACTAACTGTTAATATTACATATTATATTTTATTTATTTACATATCCTATAATAATTATGTGCCAATGTTTATAGCAAGGACAATATGCCACAAAGGCAATGACAATATTTGCATTATTTCTTATCCTAATTAAAAATGTCTCATTTTTTAGAGGTTTGATCTAAGTTAATTTATTAAAAATTTAGTATATATGATGGTTGACTGTCATACTATTTTAATGTAATTTATATATGTTCAGAGTCTAAGATGCTCAATGGTTAAATTGTTAGCTCATTAGCAACTTCTTAATATGAATATGTTTTTCTGAGTTATTTCTAATAATAATTATTATTTTTTCCAATTGAATATTTCTATGTTTTCAAGTGTGATTAATTTTTAAGATTTTATTTTTATTCATTAGAAATATGGAAAATGTCTAATTATTGTTGTAAATAGTTATATGTTGTAAAAATATTGGATTGCTGAAATTATACAAATTTAATATTGTTACTCACATTTCTTATTAACAAATTATTTTATTGTATAGTTCATTTTTTTATTCAAATAATTGTTTTTTATTTTATCTGTTTGTGAATTATTTAAATTGTATAGAAATCATGTTAAATATTGTTAGATATGTGTCTTTTGATTAGCAATAAAACATATGTACCCCTAGTAAATGTTATTTATTAAAATCTAATAAGTGTTGAGAATATTTAAATCAAAAACATCATAGAACAATCTGCACTTGATATTTTTTGTTGTCCAATTTTGGGCTTTAATCATTAATTAAAATTAATGTGGCTTGTGTGCCATCAAAGCCTAATAAAAAAAATAATAAATATTTTGACTAAACATAAAGTGTATGTCTAATACATTTTCATGATTATCCTTTCCTTATAATGTCCATTACATAGTTAATGAATCTTACTGTTATCTTTTATTTTCTATTGAACTCTCCAATGTAAATTCCAAAAATCAATCCGGATCAAACCCAACCTTATAAATGTTGCTTTATGGTTTGTTGTTTTCTGGAACTATAATCACCAACTATTTGTCCACATCTAATTATTTTTTCTTTCTATCTTTGTCCAATGCATCAGAAGTAAAGGGAGTATCAAAAAGAGTGATCATACATATGCAAGTAGTATTAGGTACTCAAATACTAGTTAAAACACTCGTGTCAAATCAATGCTCGACTGAAATGTTTAGTAATATAGCCATGCTTCCTGTTAAATTATTCCAAATATTGACCCATTCGCCCAATACCCATCTCAACATATTAAGCTGATATCCTTTTAATTATAACTCCTAAGATCCTAACAAATAATTGATATTAACAAATCTGGTCTGTGGCAAATGGAAAGCACCACACATCTATGTGATTATTATACCTACTTAGAGTGCCATTTTCTAATACGAACTGAAGAAGATATATTATTTTCTGGTTAAAATATTATTAATTATCTTTTGATCGTTTTCGTAGTGCAGCTAACAGGCACGTCGTATAAACAAAATATTTTTCTATATTACCTATTAAACAGATTTGCATACTTTTCATCATCAAAAAAAAAAAAACACATGTATATAATAATATATACATAAATTAAAAAAATGGCCCTTAATTCTTATGAGTTGTAAGCTAGAATACCTAAATATTTTAATAGGTAGGTATCAACAAAAAATTTGTATATATTTATTTGTGTTGATATTTAATGAGTAGGGTTCGGATTTAAAGGCAGTATAATTCATTAAAAAAAGCATTTAAATTCATGGTATACTTTTTAAAACATTTAACTCTGTTTGAACTATTTATAAATTAAAGGCATGAGATAAATACCAATAAAAAAATATTTACTGGATTGAAAAATTCATTACAATTTAATCCAAGATCCTACATAAGTTTTTCTTAAATCTGTATAAAAATATTAAAAACATTTAGGCACAATTCAAAATTGCAAACATTTTTAAACTATTTTGTTGTTAAATTATTAAAAATTAACCAAATTATTATTTAATAATTGAAAAAAAATAACACAATTTTAGTAAAATTTATCTTTAGTTTTATTAGGTACATCTATTAGAGTATTAGTATAATAATTTGTCAAATAAAATAATTAATTATAACACTATCTTTTAGTTTACATTTTTCTTCATTTCAAATTTTAAATTTAAAAGGGTCTAAATGGTCTAATAGCTTTACCTACTAATATAGTTTTTTTGGATTGTGAGCAATATTTTATAATTTGTTTGTCGAAAACTCCTTACACACATACTGCAGCTTAGATATTTTCTTATAATTGATAAATAATATTTTAATTAAAAACTTCTACGATGCGTTGGTGCATAGATACATGTATTTTTTTGTTTTGGGGGGTTTGAACCTGGGAACTCCTCCTCGTAAATATGGCACTGATTATGACAGTATTCTTCTTCTGATAATGGAAAGCAGCAAATTAATATTAACAAACATTTTTGATTTCAAAGTTCTTGATGTTTATTTTTTAATCACCTGCAGTATAACAATTCACGATAGATATTAATTTCTTATTTGATTAATTGTTCCTCAAATAAGTTTTTATTTATCTTAGACTTGAAGTTATCCGATCTACCTTTGCTACCGATGGTTAGATTAGGTTCGCTATGTACTCGGTGGTAGAATTATTTAGCAATTTTACAAAAAGTAAATTTTTCTATAAAAAAAAACTAGCTAATAACAACTATGCTAAATCAACTATTGTTTTTATTTTTAATTATTTTTTCTTTGTATTTTTATTTTTATCAATTTTGAATAGCTAAACCTGGACGATACAGAAATACCTCTTCTTAAAACCAGGATAAAAACCTAATTCCCAAATTTTTACTCTAACCTTAAAACTTTCGAGGATATATGTATATGGTTTTACAATAAAGGAATAATAATAATAAAAAAAAAAAACCGGCAATTAAAATTGTGGCTTCCACTAGATCAACTCATATCAGACGACAATGAAGATAAAGAATAAAATTTAAAAATACAACTACAGAGTTCTAATGACTATGCATGAATATTATTGGAAATTTGTAATTTTTTAATTACTCTATAAAACTTGTAAGAGTATGTGACATATATTATGTATAAATAATATAAATTAATTAATTACAATATAGAAATAAACTTTAAAAATTAAAAGTAAGTTTAATTCTACTTATAAGTTAATAATAATTATTACATCAAAATACATTTTTAAATTTGTATTTTATAATTGATTATATTAAGGTAAAGCCAACGTGAATGCCCTCCTCTTAGGACTCGAGGAGAACTTATTACAAAATAAATATGCAGTCAGCATCGAAATTAGTATTTGAAAATTTCAGTGTTTAAATTATTTCTTTTAAGTTTTTAATTTAAATAATTATAATAATTTAATAATAATTTAAATATTTTTATATAAATACATCCGACATTAGTAATTGTTTCCTTTAATATTATAAAAGTATTTAAAATAATTTAAATTGACAAAAAAATACATATTGTATTACATACTGTAATACAATATTATACAGTAATATAAAATACTTTTATTACAGTAACATTACTGTATACTTATAAATATGCTTAAATAAAACAATATGTTAACTTTTACACTCCAATGTATTAATTCATCAATATTTTTACTAAAAATTCAAAATTTCACATTTTTGCGAAATATTTCAAATTTCAAAAGTTCAAAGACTAATAAAAAATAACGGAGATTGCACCAATTTGATAAAAATTTAATTTTTTTAAGCATAATAGGTATTTTTTTATTTTATCATGAGGTACTAATTAATTTTAGATTTTTGATTAGGCAGTAACCTATCTTTTTTACTTGCAGTCACCGTCCAATCATAGTCACTATTATTTGATAGATTAATGTATAAATATATTTCCCAATAATTCATAGCTTTTAATAATATTCTAATTCAACTATTTTTATTAAAACTTAACAAACTAACAAATTATATTATATGTAATTATATGTAACCATGTGAAAAAAAAATAAAAACAACAATAATTAATAATTAATTTTTCTTCTATTCGAGATAAAAATGTGTTAGTTCTATTGTAAAGATATTATATAATATCGATACGGTAATACTTAATAATATATAAATATACTGATAATATTACTACATCTATCTATAAATA